GCTGCCTACTATTCTGGTTTCAGTATATTAATATTTCAGATGAGGAAGAATAATACCATTTATCTTTGAAGCAAATAGTTTGGGTTGGACTAAGGTGGCAATATCTAATTATGGGTCCAAAATTTAGGATAAAAAGAGAGACAGATAAAGACAGGTTGGGTATAATCATATACATCTCTTAAAGATTTGTGCAAGAGGATAACATGTTTGTCAAAGCCCAGCCTACACACCACAGAGAGAACTTGTCCCAAAGTATCACTTAAAAAGAACTGAGGGGTACAACTCTGGCTAGAAGACTTCCCAACACATGGAAGGTTCTCTAACATCAGGTGGTTGTGCAGGAGGGGACAGGAAATGCATGTTCGAGGCAGTTAATTTATTGGGATACTTTTTTTCTGCATTTCACTGTAAAAACTTTTTTAAATAAAAATTTTACTTTGAAAAAAATTCCTAAGAAAGCCAAGTGTAACTATGATTTATTTACTTGAAGAATACATCTCCATGAATAGTAATAAATGCTTGTAAACGGTTGTATCCACGTACACTCATTTCTCTTGATTATTTTGACAGTTCACTAGTATCATGTTACAGCTATCAGATGAAGTACAGAAGTTTGAAAATATTTACTTTTATAAATATATTAGAGAAGAGTGAAGCTTGTTATGACCTTATTACCATCATCCTAATTGCCCTACATTCCAGGGTGTTTTCCTGAGTGTAAAAGAAAGGCATGGAGTTACAAAGATCTAGCCTGCTGGGAATTTTGCCTAAGCCTGGCTATACTCCCGAGAGCGTTCTGGGAGGACGGGAACCGTAAATGTAAAATCATCTGTCATGTGACTCCCTATAAACTAATGTAACCCAATGGATGCAAGTTGGTTATAAAAAGCATACACTTCTTAATGAGCCAAACAAAGGGTAGAGTTAAAATTATCAATGATATGATATAAAATGTGATTGAAATTATAGGATGCAATCATGCATTTCTTTTTTTTTAAATTCCATTTATACACAAATTTGTAATTACTTCTCCAATAAGAGGCTCAGCTATGTTTCAGACCCTCTGAAATCTCTCTCCTGCGGAGCTATACTTCTGCACGTTCTGAAGTGGTACTGTATTCCAGCCATATATTGCTAAAAACCATGTCAATTTCCCTGGCATGGACTTTCAGAGTGGTTGATTATTTTTATTTGTTTTTTTTGTACATAAAATTGCTTCAAAGCTATAGTATTAAATCACTGAATCTCAGACAAGACAGCAACATGCAGTATAACAACCACTGTAGAATTCCTATCATTTTGTTTAGTGAAATTCCAGTGTATCATTTCTTTTTTTTTTTTTTTTTATTTTTATTTATTACATTTATTTATTGTGTGTGTGGCCAGCTCAGCCCACCAGGGGGCGGGGCTGGCTGGCATGTGGTGCTGGGGATCGAACCGCGGTCCCTGTGCTTTGCCAAGCTTGTTTCAAGTAGGTGCTTTAGACCACTGAGCCATCTCTCCAGCCCCCAGTGTATCATTTCTAAATGGGGTTTTTAAATATTTTTTTACTGTCTTAAAAATGCCATTCTACCTAGGGGAAAAAAGTAAAAGAAATGATTATTTTATTCCAAGCATAATATTTTATACAGAGTATGCTCTCAATAATTATGCTTAGGATGAATAAATAAAGACAAAAATGAAATAATACATGAATAAAAATAAGGAATATTCACAAATGCTTCAGGAAGCCTCCAAGTACTATGGCTTAATATTCTTATCATATTTGTCAATGTTCTATTTTCTGTTCTTCACATTGAAGCACATTATCTCAAACAAGTTCTTAATTATAATACTACTATATTGAATAGAATTTTGGTGTTAATATGGTTAGCTTTCATTTTCCAAAGTACAAAAGTGAAAACTGAAGCATCTTGTTCCAGAGAGGGATCTTCTGAAATCTGATTATTCATTTCAAAAAACTAGCCCAGTAGAATTTGTGTGTGTGTGTGTGTGTGTGTGTGTGTGTGTATTCCTATCATCATTTTATAATCTTTAAAAATAAAAATATAAAATATAATTGATAAAATGGTGCAGGCTTTGGTTATATAATAATTTTCTATACAAATAAAAAGTTAGAACTTTAAGCTGCAGAAAATTTAAGGAGAAATTAAGTTCAGGTAGATGCTAATTCCTTTGCAAAGAGTTGATTGGGGAAAAAATAAAAAAGGAGAGAAAACTAATCAAAAAGATGAGTTGGAAGTTCAGTCAAGGAACTGAACCATGAAAAGTAAAAACTATGAAAGTTAGATATTTAAAAGGCATAAAAAATAAGTTGGGTAGCAACTGGATGTTTATGGTAAAGAACTGAGAGGATCGAGGATAAAGCACAATCTTTTTTTTTAACTTGGAAACAATTGAATTAGAGGAGAAATGTTGGTCAGAAAAAATAACAATTTCAATGTTAGACTTGCTAAGCAGGGACTGCCTATAGAGCATCACACTAAAGATCAGGGCTACAGTATATGTGATATTTTATATAAACCTGCAGCTGAAGGCCTGGGTAAGCCAAGAGATCTAGGGGATCAGAAAGGATGTGCAATAAATAAACAACTGACTAAGAAAGAATATGTTGGAGCTAGGAATGTATCCAACATGAGCTAGAGAATTATGTACTCTATGAACTATGAACCAGTACTGTAACAACACTCACAGGTGTCTAAATGGAAAGTAAGCAACATTAGCTAAAATTACCAATCAATTTCTATGGTATAATTAGCCACATTTCATATACTTACAACTAATGCAGTTAGTGGCTACTGTATGGGTGACATAGATATAGATTATTTCCATCAACACAAGACTCTGGCACAGTCCTGGCAGGGAAAAGGCAAGCCAGGAGGAAATGTTTGGGGACAGAAACCTAGGGAAGTAAGACGTGGGCATAGAGGGGAAAAGGAAGTTGAGTGGAGTGAGACGCTGGACTATCAAAGGAAGAAAAAGAGAAAGGAAAAATGAGTAAAGCTGAAACTGTCAATATAAAAGAAGTAAAAAAAAATACTTATAGTTTACTTTTTGATGTTTGATACTGCATTGGAGTTATTACCAATTTCTTCAGATATGAAATGACCCAAGGAGATTAATTCTCTCACACACAGATAACAGATTCAGCCCTTAGGAGAATTCAAGTTCCATACAGCGAGGAAAATGTTGGAAATCCAACCATTCTCTGCCCACACTTTAATCAATAAGAGATACTTTGCATAGCTTTTGACCTTAGCCACTGCCCTTAAGGTCTATACTATTGTAGAACACATCTCTTAGAAATATATGTCAAGCACTTGTATTCAGATATTATTTTTTAAATCCACAAAATTCTACTCTCAGAACAAAAATAAAAGTGACAGGATAGTTCAGAGAATGAGGAGCACTGGGCACGGGAAATTGTTGTTTTAAGAACACAGAGTTTCCTTATGAAGGAAACATTCTGAAAATGAATAGAGGCCATGACAGCACAAGAGAAGGCATTAAGTGCTGCTGGACTATGCACTTCAAAATGGTTAAAGAAAACAATTCATGCTGTGTGTATTTTACTACATTTTCTTTTAAATCAGGTTGAACTGAACTATATAGCATGGGTGAAACAAGAAGCCTTCTAGAGCATTCTACTCTAGAAATTTCTACTCCAGGGAAATTTAAGATGCCAAACATAAAAGTTAAAAACACTTCCAACAAATATGTGTTACTTGAGGTAGGAATTTTTGATGTTGGGGGACAATATCCTGGTAAACCACAGAAAATTAATATTCTTTTGCCCAATAATGCCCATAGTCTAAAATAATGAGACAAGTTAGAGATTTAAATGGCACCAACAGAATAAAAATTCATTAGGGCAGTTTAATAATCTAAGTGACATTTACTTTAGTCCCTATTTGCAGGCTGGTTAACTGGTGACAGTTTTTTTTTTAACTTATCTTCTGTCAACCATAGTCCAAAAACATTGAATGGAAAATTCCAGGAAGGATTCATAACTTTTAAATAATTTTTATTAGAGCATTTTATCATTGTTCTATTTTCTTATCATTTTTATTAGTGTCTTACTTGTACCTAATTTATAAATTTAGCTTCATCAAAGTTATTTGTTTATAGGGAACACCAGTATGCATATCACAAGTTCGGTGCTATACATAGTTTAAGGCTTCTATAGAATATTCTAGAACGCATTCCCTGAGGATAAGGGGAGACTCTTATTTACCTTTTCCTTTACTGTTTGCTTCTCAAGTCAACAGCTGTTCTTAGCTGGTAGATTGTCAAAGTATAAACCCAGCAGTAAACCTGGAGGCAATTATGATTGTACAGGAACAAGCCTCATTGTGATTTTTGGAGGGCGCATACCCCATGGATAACTTCTCATACATTTCCTGATAGTCAGGCCCTAGAGCAAGGCTCAGGGAGAGAAACACAGAAGGAGCTCCAAAGTAAGCCAGTGCCTCCTTCCATTTGTGTTACTGCTGTCAGGAAAAAGAAAATTTCAGGCTAAAAATTAAACCAAAGCATTTTATAGCTCATGACTGTAAAACAGCACAATAAGCCAATGACAGTTTGTTTGGTCCAGATTATTTTACAAGTTATACAATAACTAATCTCATATGGATTTTAACCCTGCTGTCTCCAGTCAGTAACCAGAATTTGCCTTGTGAACAAATTGGCACAACGCAAGTAAACACTTGCACATTCCTGGATCACACCATTTTCTCTCCAAGAGTGTATACCAAATACCGGAAACAGAACTATCTGTTAAATAAATCAGCTTTCCTTGCCCACTATGTGAAGCTTTCCTTACATAATACAGGAACCCTGGTGATGTCACAAACTGGCAAATTCTTTGTGTGACTGTACACTCAAAGGACATGGGCAAAGGCTGCTGACCGGCGCTAAGAGTAGAGACGAACCAAAAAGAAAGAAGGGAAGAGGGAAACAAGACACAGAGAAACACAACAGATGAGTTCTACTATACTTACAACTTTCAGCCTGATAATCTGGTACAAACTGCTCGTCATTGTCAGGTACCTGAGCTGAGGAAGAAAATTGAAGAAAAAAAAAGTTAAGAGAAAAACTGCCAATGCACAAGGAACGTCAAGTCATATCTGTTAAGTAAAGTCTCTTTAAGCCAAGATCATACCTATTTATTTGTCAACAAGGTCCTATTTAAAATGGTATTGACAGAATGACATAGGAGGAGAAAAGAGGGGAACATTAATATCAACTAGAAAACATAAATATGCAAGATATATGGCAGGTGTAGTCTCTCTGAATTTCACTTGCCAGATGGAAATAAAAGAGACACAAAATAAAAGAAGCTACAGGATTTCTATTTCCTGCAGGGTTTCATTTTGCAAGTAGCAAGATAGATTCTGATTCACCCAATGGTGATCATTAAGCAGCCCATCTAAATAATCTCACGAACCTTTAAAGTGATGTACAGGTATCACACACAGCCCACTGCGTTCTTAGAAATGACTGTTCTTGGTATCGCCCAGCTCTTAGAGACTACCATAATTTAAAATGTTTGCCCTAAACTTGACCAAAGTATGCATACTACAAACATTTAAAATGAAAAATTGTCATTTACTTTTGGGATATTTGTAATAAAATAGTATATTTCAATGATTGTATTCATAATAATAAACAATAAAACAGATGCCATCTTTTCATGTAAAAATTTTCCTGGCAATGATTCAGCATTAACAAAAAGAACATGACTATTTCATCAGTTTTAATGTCAAACGACTTCCCTATTTTTAGTAAAGGAAAAATACTGAGCAGCAAAGATTTAATGCATTCAGCAGCAATCAAACCACAAGTCCACTTTTCACTTCTAAAATGTTTTCATCACAAATATGCTAGACATGAAATCAACCTATGTTTTCACAAAAATATACAAATAGACATCTTTCCACACACGAAAACCACATACAGCAAAAAGTCAACTTACTTTAACTTGGTAAATGTATTAAGAAGTGTCATCCTAATTAACTGAAGCTATAATCTGATTAGTGTTATTTTCTAGTATCATACACTACTGAAAGTTTTTATCACATCAAGCTTATTACAACAGACTCCAGTTTATTTTTAAATGATCTGATTCTGTCCGAGACATGATAACTAAGATACATAATCAGCCTATTGAAAATTTTTCAGGCTAGTGATGGGAAGAACAAAGAAAAATCCATGTAACATGCATTATATATGAAAATATCCTATATGAAAAAGGAATACAACCAGCTGTGTTAGCATATACCAGTAATCCCAGCACTCTGGGAGGCAGAGGCTGGAGGACTGCAAGTTCAAGTCCAGGCTAGAGAGCTTAGTAACTTAGCTAGATCCTATCTCAAAGTAGAAAATAAAGAGTACGGCCGTTGTATTTGAGCATGTACCCTTGGTTCATCCCTTATTACTGCAAAGTTTTCTTGTTCAATAGTACTCTTTTGAAACAGAAATATTTGGCTTTATAAAATTTATATTGTAGTCTTAAGAACTTAAATATCCAACAATAGCTCACCTATTATTAAAATAAGTACAGTGTGATGGTTGTGTATTTCAGCTACACACAAACACTAACCTTATTAGGGACATACCTTCTCTGCCACCAAATGAAACTAAAACTTTAAGAAGATTTTCAAGTTATAACTGACATCTATTTGACAAATCTAATCTGGAAGGATCTTTTTTCTTTTCACATTGCACTAATATTTGCTACTATGGGTAAGAACTTTAAAGTCAGGGAAACTTCAACTCCTACACCTACAACTTGCTGACTGAGTCACTTGGTATGCTGTTAAAGCTCTTTAAACTCCACTGTACTCATCAGTTTAACAGCAATGCCACAGGGTAAGGATTTTGGGTAAGGATTAAGTAATCCAAACAAGATGGCAGATGTTCAGACACTTATTTTCTTTTTCCTCTACCATTTACTCCTTTCTTTGAAGTCACAAATAGGAAAGTGTATTTAATGATGACAACATCCAGGTTAGTATCTCAACTTCTAATGAATTCTTAGACCAATAAATAAATTAAAGTGTGCCCATTGGCATGCTGTCAGCCATAAGCAACACATTTAATATTGCAGTAAGCTTGACTTTTCTCAGTCTTGTAAGTTAGCAGAGGAGAAGAATACTTTGAAAGAAGTCTTCACACCAGAAAAATTACAAGTGTTTTAATATATGTGTAATAAAAAAGAATGCATAAATAACTCCTGAAGCTTTGCACTCATGATATCCAAATGTTTGGATTTACACTAAATGAACAATGAAACTTGTAAAACCCGAGGTGCAAGACTGCCAACCACAGAAATTACTATTATATTGACAAGAATCTAATAAAAATATTATATCCTTTCAGAGAAATAGTTTAAAAATATGGATGAATTTTTTTTAAAAAAAGGTATATTTGTAGCTGAACAGGCCTGTAGGCCAGATTTTCCTTGCTTAGCATCACAGGACAAAGTTGCAACGCTGCACCATGTGTCATTGCTGGAGTAACAGCACAAGTCACCGATGGGCCACTGAAGGAAAAGTCAGTAACAAAGGAGCAGAAGACTCTCGGAACTATGCTTCACAGAATAACTACATACTAACAGTTTGTAAAAAGAGTAAGAATGTGAATTGCTATTTCTGTTCTAACTCCTTAACATACTGAATAAATACTTCACACTTAGGCTTGAACATATTACAGAATTTTAACAAAAAAAACATGACTCACATTTTCACAGAAGCTAATCTTAAGAAGCCAAATAGACTAAATGAAGCAGCCCGCTACTTAAATAGACAAAGGCTTCAGCTACCTCTAATTTCAAGTTGGAGTAAAAGGAAAGCAGCTAACCAAAAACACAAGTTGGATCCGGGCAAGGAAAATATGACACAGTATTGCCACACTCGGATCATACATTTCCTTCTCTTTTTTTCTTTAATTCACAAGAATTCTGTGAAGAAGCAAAACTACAGCTGCCTGAAAATTTGTTGCAAGCCATACTGACTCCAAAGTTGAAAATTAACAATACAGATCAACCTTTTAAAAAAAATTGTTTTTCACCACTATCTATCATAAACTATGCTTGAAGTGATGGCCTTAAGGGACCGAAAATGTTTTTCCACACTATGTAATTAAAGGGGAAGGGAAGAGAAAAGCAGAGGAAGGAGAGAAAATATGTACCAAAAGGCCAATAAAAGGCTTTCAGGGAGATTAAGCATGTAGATTTTATTGGAAATAGCTGGAGAGACTGGGTTTATTGCACATTAATAGACACATTGCCACCACGTCCAGGATCGCAGCTTTAAAAGGGTTAGATCTACACTCTTGGCTATTTGCTTTACCCAGAGAATTATCCTTAGTTGTTCTTCAATTTTCTTTTTACTACATAGTGGCACATACTATGGGAAAGAAATTCACGAAACTATTAATCATGACCTCAACGTCACAGAATCATCAACTCGTATTTTTAACTTTAATATCCTTTCTTAAGTAACACTGCCTTAGGGATAGGCCATTTTAAATATAGCCTGCCTTTACTTTATGCCTATTTTTAACTTTTAAATTAAACAACTATCATTATATGGCAAGGTAAGGATTTAAATTTTTTCCAAGGTTAGCTGCAGATAAATAAATACTCCCCATATTCTTACAAACTAGGTACTATGTGGGTGGTCTTTTAAAAGTCAGAAAAAATGCAAAAAAATTACAAATAAGACAAATGTCAAGTATCAAAGGGGTTAATATTTAATTAAAACCAGTTCTATCCACTGTAACAATGACCTGGAGCCAAACAAGGCGGAAGATGTATGAGTCATTCTTTCTGCCCGTGAATGAGACAGCTGATCTCCTCAGCAATTCCTCAAGACAAGCAGGCAGAACTGGAGTTCTGCCTCCATTCACAAAAACACAGTCCAGCATGAGCCATGTGGCCCAACCGCAATCTTTTCATGTCACACCCTTCCTGAGAGCCAAGCAAGTAAACTTAAACTTGCAATATAAACACACCAATTTTATTGCTCTGTTTCCAATAGAGCTCAGCTCCATTAGCAAACATTTAAATAAATGACAAGTTATCAAATGGCATATTTATATATATATGTGTATATATATTTATATACCTATACAAGATAAATAAATGACATGTGTGCACATGCATGAACATGTTTATCTCATCATGGTTGGTCTGCAGAGTAACTTATTACAGAAACTTGAATGTGCATAACTAAGGAGGGAGGGGAAGAGAAAAAAATAGAAGGATGGAAAGAAACAAAAATCATTAAAGAAATTCTTTGTTGTTTTTGCCTGTTTTTCAAGTTTTTATGATAAGAAAATAAGAGATTATTTGTGGTATTTGTAGCATTTCACGTGGAATCAGTGTTAGGAATGAATTTATCTAAAGAAACTATACTTTATGTTAAATTAAGGCAACAAGAAAGGCAACCCTTGCACAGTGGTATTCCTTTTTACCAAAACAAAACTTCAGGCCACGGAACAAAATAATCTTGAGTCCACTAAGCCTAGCTTTATGCCACATGCGGTTTTAACATTAAAGTGATTGTGTGGGGGTAAAGGATTAATTAATGCAGAAGCATAAACAAATTTAATCAGACAAAAATAAGGCTCATTTTCCCATGACAGAAATACCTTTAATGTTGGAGACACTAACACTCTGAAAGGAAGAAAGCACAAGTTTTTCTTATCTTGAGTCTCAAAGAAAAACTTGTGCTTTCTTCCTTTCAGAGTCTCAAACAGTATCAATTCCTGAATAAATGGACTTGCAATGATTTGAAAAAAGAAGTTAGGTGTCATTGTCTGTAGCCAAATATTTTTTCTAATATTAGAGGTATTATCATTTTTAATTATAAGATGATACATACAAATCAAAGGAAATAAAGTTATGAAATGGAAGAAGTTAAATATTTCTTGTGGCTGAACTAGAAAAGCTCAGCAAAATTTCATTAACATTTAGTAGGACTCTAGAAAAAAAAAATCCACCGCGCTATATCAAATCCAATTCTTTAATTTTTCTATCTTGTAAGTAGACTAAAGATGATAAAACATTTACATATTTCCAATGAATATTTAAAAGTATAATATATTTACTCTGTTATCTTTAAATCAAACCCAAAAGAACTGTTTCAAATGTTAAAGTTTTGCTGATTTAAAGAAAGAAAGGGTGGTAGCCAGCCAATACACACATAAATAAATTCACTCTAAACTAAATTTTAAGAAATTGTATGGTCTTCTTTAATCTAATGTTTAATTTCTGACTCCTGGTTTGTGTAAACTATGTGAAATAATGAAGCTTGTAATGCTTTTTTCCTTAGCATGTCATAGACAAAAATATACACATACTCAATGTTATGCCCCATTTTAAAAAGAAACTAGGACTCTTGATTAATAAAAATGAGTGTTTTATGACTACTGTGTACTGTGGATGACATGCTACTAACAACAGTACATTTATTTAAGATCCATTATAAAAATGTCTTTGACCAAATTTAATATTGCTCTTTGAAGTGAGTTGAAGAAAAGTAATGCCATCTTCAGTTTCGAGCTAATTTGACAACTTTTGGAAGGTTATATAGAACTGAAGGGCAATATATCATATTTCTATTTCATTGTAAAGAGGTTGTTCTTGGAGATAAAACTTTGACTGAGAATGTGGACTATGCCTTGCTATACCAGTGGGGAGCATTCCAACCTTGGGGGCAACCAATTGCTGTTGGCTTTTTCTTCAAGGTTATTGATGAAAGACATCTAGACCCGCAACAAAATAACAGCCAAAAGTAGCCATGTCTGTATTTTAGTTATTTACTGAAGTTTGTTAATTCTCTTTAAATTGTGTTAGTAAGCTGTCATAAACCAGTTCAGGAGAATTCAATCCCTTCTTAACTCAGGTTTTTATATTCTTCAATCACTGTAGTCCCCATGGAGGATGATCCATTTTAAGTATGATGTTTTTAGGTCACCAGTTACTAACACATTCAGAACAGTTTAAGAACAAGAAATAACCATGATGTTGATAGGATTGAAACCTGAATTCACTTCTTATGGAATCAAATAATTTCAAATGCCTTTCTGTCAGTAGCATTCTCACTCAAAAGACAAAGAATCAATAAAATATTTAAAAAATTGTACAATTACAGTGTGAAGTAGCTATGTCAAAATGTAGAATGGACATACATTCTACTTTTTTTACTGAGATCCCTGAAAATATTACCTTTCCAGTTTTCTTTAGAATAAAATGGTTATTTTAGCTTTCAGTATTTGTGTTAAATCTTTAGATTGCACTCTGAAAGTGATAGGAAAGTTACATCTTCACAAATATATTTTAGATCACTGTATGAATTTAAGCTTTCTTCTCAGGGGTTGGGAGGTATACATGATATTTAGAAAGAATCATAGTGAACTGAAAATACTTCTATCTCCAACCTGAAATAGTCCTGTCTTTGTCTATCCCAACTTTGCCTTAGACAGAAAATATATTTCATAGTCCATAGTAATATACTCAGAACTCGCCCACATGTTGCACTTGTTCAAATTTATAAAAAATTTTACAAGAAAAACAAGTAAAATAATTTTATAAGAAAATAACTTTGACATTCTAGTACATATCATTTCACAAATATTTAGGGACTTGAATAATTTTTATAATTGTAATTGTTATATGACACATGACAACTATCCTGATTCTCATGTCTAATAAGATTTTCAGACCTGTTTAATTGCCCCGTGGAATTCTAACTCTTGGGAGAAACTTGCTTAATTGCCAGTGATCTTTTGTAAAAGGGTCAAGATGTCTTAAAATTCCATGGTCACTGTCTTGGCTGCAGGACATTATGAAAAGAAATACGTAAATGGCTCACAGTTTGCCAGTTTAGTAATGTTTTTATTTCTGGGTGTCCAGAAGGAAAAGAAGAATGGAAAAATGTAACTGCAAATAAAACAAGAAGAGTTTCGGAATCTGTTCTCAGCTAATATTGTTCAAGATTGGGATAAGTCATCACTGCACTAGTGGAAAATAACACATTTCATGTCGAAGTCCAAAATTCAATGTGGATTTTATTAACAGGAGAAAAAAAGCTTTTCTTATTATCAGATTTTTTGAAATTACATTAACGACCTTTTGCTTACATCGTGACTGGATAAATTAACGTAAACTATTTTGGGAATGCTTAAATTATTCTAAACTGCAAGCTTATCCATAGTTTGTAAATAGTAGCACACCTGGGTATTAATAAAACACTTAAGATTAATTCCTGAATTTAATTAAGCTTATTAATTCCATCCTAAGTAAAAGTCTGTGCTTCTCCAAATGCATTAGTCATTTTCCGATTTTATATAAAGCTAAATCTGCAAGTTTGATTTATAGGTGTGTTTATAATCATGGGGAAGGAAATTCCATAGAGTTTTGAAAGATAAATTATTCAAATCACTTTTCCAAGCTATTCACAAAAAAGTCAA